TGGTGTCAACTTAGGGTAAATATGCAATTTGTACTATAAAGAGAAACAGTTACAAAACATGGCCAAACATTCTTGGAAATTCTTTTCTCTATACAAGTGAAAACGTCGGATTATGGAATGCTAATAAGATTTGGACTCAACTGAGGGGAGAACAGACCCCAAAAGAATATGTATGGGGATAGGAAAAGAAGTTGAGTATCCTATAGAAGATAGTAAGAGCAACAGAACACAGCATGACACGTAGCAACATGACTGGATGATGATTATATGAAACTTATTCCCTGAGGATAAAAGAACACAAGATCAGCAAGACATTGTGACTCCAGATCAGCGTTCATAGCAGCAGCCTTCTCTGATTGTGCTATAAATGTGCTGGGCTGTAATTCCCATGATGGATAGTGACCTTTAATGCCCTAAGTTAAAGGACACTGCACATTGGCTCCACATGAAAATCTATTCATTAATGTCTCTTGAATTTATTTATATTTGGGTTGATTGTTTAATGCTCGTTTGTGTCACATTGTTTTAGCTGTTTTAAACTACACTTGAAGTCACTTTGAGTCCCATATACTGGGGAAAAGGCAGAATCTAAATCCAATCAAATAAATTTGAACTATTCTTCTGCATGCCCAGAAATGTCTGAACTGCACCTACCATTGCTTTGCCAAAGGAAGCTTGCCCTGCACCGTTTCTGTCATTTTTCTCCCAGTTACGACCTTTTCCTTCGACAGACACATGCATGGTATTTTATCCATAAATCGTTAGCTGTTTCCATTATTTTCCCCTTTTGATTCTTTATTAAACTGGTAGGTAGCTCAAAGCAATCATAAACTATGGTCCTATTTGCAAAATAAATAGCCTGCTCTTTTGGAGCTACAGTGGTGTTACTATCTTATAGAGCCCTGAATAACATCTTGTCATATGATGTGACCTGCAGTGACAGAAACTAACTAGTTAAAATAAATTACAGTTTTAGTATTCCATATAGAAATGATACAAAATCTGAAACCTTTGGAGCTGCAACCTACACAAATCTGTACTCCATTTACAAAGCTGTATAAAGACACTTCTGGGGAGAAATGTGACAGGAAAGAGATGCAAGGATCTAGACAATGGAAGAAATCCATGACTGCCACCATTTCAGATCTTCAACTCTCTTTCCAGTCAAATCAATGAGCAAGATTGATGCAGCGGCTGCTTCAAAGACAAATGTGGTTAGCTGGTAACCAACCACCACCATTGGAGTTAACTGCAATTACTAGGTCCCCATCTGCAAATTATTTGAGTAGGAAAAGCGCTGACTGGGATCTAGGTTCCAGCAGTAGAAGCAAGGGCAGGGAGGAGAGGATTGTTGTTGTTGTTCTTGACATTGTTCTCTCCAACAGTCCAAGGCAGGAAATGGTCACCAACACCTACTGCTAATGCATCCAGTTGTAGACTGAACTTCAGTTGGGTTGTAATGATGGAAGAGGAGCAGCAGCAGCCACAACAGTGACTTCTTACGCTAAGTTTGACTATGAACTAAGCTACACCATCTCCTGCTTTTCTCTTTTCTCCAGAGGTGGGGAGCCCCCCCCCCCAAAAAAAAAAAAAAAACCAAAGAGGACATTACAGTTTGGATCCCAACTTGACTTTACAAATCAGGATAATTTTATGGAAATACCATTCTACCCTATATACCAAACATTCAGTCAAGGATCCATTGTTTCTGGAATTAATTGCATTTGTCACACAATTGATATATCAGCTGCAACCTGTGTGCATACATTCCCCTAAGGTAATCTAGTGCCAGTACCAATTGTCCCTCTCTCCCTCCCTGCCTGCCTGTCAGTTGTGAGAATTAAAACTGTAGGCTTCAGAATGCTAAAGAGAAATGATGATTACTACCTCACCCAATGATGATTGAGCAGTGATGCTTTCACTTTTGTCAAGCACTGCGACTAAACCAGAGAACATAAGTCCCAATGAATATATAGGAAGCAATAATTTTCCCCCTACGAAGAATATGTGCTTTATTATGGGCACATATTCTCCCTTCAGAAGGCAGTAAATTACAGTATTTATGGAATCTTAATGATCTAAGCACAGTTGGAGCCTGAAGGTCAAGGCTGCAAACTGCATCCTAAATTTCTGTTTACAGATGAAGTTGAGTATTTATTGCAGCACTGTTTGTGCTGCTATACTTAAAGCTCTGCCAGCGTTTCCATTATAAACCACTATTTCAGAGGTTTATAACTCACTCATAAATCTCCACTTCAGGCTGAAACACAGTGCAAAACAAGGTCTCCACTGTGGGAGAAAGTCTCCCCCCCCCACCCTCCACAAACACACTTTTCTTTTGGTTTGTTTTACCAAAATTGTTTTTTCCCCTAAATGTAAACCCCAATCTGAAATATACAAAATGCACTGTCAACTCTCATTACGCTCAATGGATCATGCATTTTGGGTAAATAGGATTGTAAAGCTGTTTGTTAAAATGTAAGCAGAAGAAGTGAAATAAAATAAAGCTTTGTTGTTCTTTCTCATTCATCCTTTACCTTCTCTGCAAATATTGAAACGAGGACTTTTTTGTTTATTCCCCACCCCCCCCACCCCACCCCCCACGCGCTGTCATACTGTTACAGCCAAAATACCCAAGACAATTGTCTGTCAATTGAAAATAACTTAAAGAAAAATGTTGAAGGTGAAAGTATGCATTCATTTGAAGGTAATGGTTTATACTAGTTTCTCCCCTGAAACTGTTTTGATCCAATAGGACAAAAAAGATATATTGGGGTGGAGAATCTGTACTGCTTCCTTTAATTGAGGTTTCCAAGGTACTGAACCCCATCAATATAGATTCAAGATAATTAATAACTTCTTCTAGTGAGTGGATTTACTCACTTAACAATGGATTCCAAACTTCACCAACACTGTGTATATCACCTCTCATGTTTATCTCCAATGATTAGTTTATGTTAATAATACAGCGTATTTTAAATCTGTGAATTATTTTTCCTTGGAAAGAGCTCAGCGATGGATATCATGAGTGTGATGACCACTCTCATCTTCAAGGACTGTTAGGTGGGAGAACAGGTACATTGGTGGTCCTCCCAGCTACTCAGGTTGGAAATCACTATTTTTCATCAATGAATTTTATCCACACACTTTCACAAAATAGTATAATTTGGAACAATATTTATTTATTTATTTATTTAGAGCATTTGTATCCTGTCCTTCTCAACCCCCAAGGGCGACTCAGGGTAGTTTACATCGGGCAATCATTAGATGCCAACAAACAAACAATTAACACTAATACAAACAATTAACACTAAATAAAACAACAAGATTATAAAATACATTGAAATATTGGCCATTAAAATATTAAAATGCAACCAAGCCTAAGTCCGCAAATCCAAATCATAGTCCAGAGTTCCATTCCAAGATCTATTCATTGACAGTTCTCATGAGTCATTGCAATTGTTGCTTGGTCAGCTGCCTGGATGCTTGGTCCCAAAGCCAAGATTTAAGCTTTTTTCTAAAGGAGAGGAGAAAGGGAGTCACCCTGATTTCACTGGGGAATATGTTCCATAGATGGGGGCTACCACTGAGAAGGCCCTACCTCTTGTCCCTGCCAATCACACTTGCAAGGGTGGCTGGATCAGAAGTAGGGCCTCCCTTGATGATCGTAAACTCTGAGGTGCGTCATAGAGGGAGATACGTTTAGACAAGTAAACTGGGCTGGAACCATATAGGGCTTTATAGGTCAAGACCAGCACTTTCAATTGTGCTCAGAAAGAGAGTGGAGTTGAGGTAGCAGGGGGGTGGTATGCTCCCTGTATGTCACTCCAGTGAGTAATCTGGCTGCTGAACGTTGGACTAGTTGGAGTGTCCGAACAGTCTTCAAAGGCAACCCCATGTAGAGTGTGTTGCAATAATCTATTCACGATGTAACAAGAACATGGACCACTGTGGCCAGATCAGACTTCCCAAGGTACAGGCACAGCTGGTACATGAGTTTTAATTGTGCGAAGGCTTCCCTGGCCATGGCCAAGACCTAAGGTTCCAGGCTCAGAGATGAATCCAGGATCCCCCCCCCCTTCCCCAAGCTGCGAATTTGAGTCTTCAGGGGCAGTGTAACCCCATCCAACACAGGCTGTAACCCTATATCCTGTTTGGCCTTGTGACAGACCAGGAGAATCTTTGTCTTGTCTGGATTCAATTTCAATTTGTTAGCCCTCATCCAGTCCAAGGCATTCCATCATTCCAGGGATGCAAATGATGCTTATCTCCATTTGTAGCTACAATTTGTAGCTACAATTTCCCCACCACCCAAGAATATAACTGTCATGATGCCACAGTGTGAAAAACATTGATTTGAGTCACTGTTGTCCAGAATGGTAGCTGAACAGTGACCAACAACCACAAGTAGATAAGAAGAATGTTAGGGGATGTTACTATCACACCTAGAATTGTTTCCCTTCCATGCTACTCCACAAAAGGCTAATGAAGAAAGACACACTAGCTTTTGTTTTCAACAAAGACCATCATATATGACAGCTAAATGGATCTTCTACATGGAATAGCTTCCTAACTGAAGGTTTGGTCCCAAACCAAAAGAGCTGCTAAACTTTCCTTACCAATTATGATTTGTTTAATTTGTTTCTATCTGTCCACAAATAGTGCTCAAAGTGGCCTACAAAAGTAAAACACAAGCCATGTTCTGGTCTAGACTTAGCTTTCACATTGGGAAGGGTTAATTCAAAATTTAGTTGGAACAGGGAAAGTATTGGTTAGCACTGAAGTCATAGGAAAAATTAAATTCATCGTTCTACCCCCCACCCCAACTGTGCCTCTTCTCTTGGTCAGAATTTAATTGAATTTAATGCTACTGATATAATTGTTTAGATATATAGATATAGATACTTCTATCATGCATCACTGCTGAGATTTATAAACCTGGGAATGAAGAAAACTAATTAAATTGGTTATGAAAAAAAGGTCCAGAATTCAGTTTTTACCTGTAGAATCCCGGAGGAACCTGTGGAACTATGAAGTTTTTCTCAAGATTCTGTAACACATCATTCAGCATCCTTACACGGGTCGGTATTCTTTCCCTTGGATCATTAGCTGGGCGCATTTCATCTGACTGGAACAACTGGGCACTCTCCCTCAGAGCATGTGCCACTGTCAGCAACTGGTCAAAATTTAGATTGCTACCTGCTAATATTAAAGAAAACACAAACATGTTATATACAAACATGTTTCCATTGGTTGGTTTATTAATTCTATAACAGTTTATTGGCCAAAGAAATATAATACTTTTAGAATACTTCCATACCATCTAGTATATACCATGTACTCCAATTTTGGATTATATGACCGAAACAATAGCAGGGAGTAGAGACAAAAGCAGGAGATTGAAATTCATCAGCTTTCAAAGCTGTGGCCCAAATTTGAACCCTTCAAAGCTAAAAATAAGAAGAATATTCACCAGAAGCTAAAAAGATTATGATTTCAGTAAGGAAGGATTTCATAAATGCCACCACTGAGAAGTGCCACTACTGAGAAGACTCTCTTGAGTTCTGCCCTGCTCTACCAAGATATCATCTCAAGATGATAAAACCCTTGAATCCAAATAAAATAGATTGCTTCCCACTATGTTGCCCACATATAATACATATCCCAAGGAATTCTTAAAAGAAATTGGTTTTAACACCTTTCACTAAATATCTCAATAAGATATATCCACTATTCCCCAAATTGTAATTGTCAGTGCTCATCTGCATTGAGGAAAGCTCATTGTTTATAATTTAATTTATTCTCTGTATAGAATTACATCTTGAACTGCACAAATATACAGACATGTTAGGTAAGTTTCAACTTTTCTTCCTGAGGATTCTTCAGTGAATTTATATGGACTTTTTCTACACCAAAGACAAATCTTACATTGGTATTTTTGTTCCCAAATAAGTTTGTTAACTGGAATGCAATTACCTTTCCATTTTCATAATTTTATTAATTTTGAGGCCAAGTTCTCAGATTTGAAAGAGACACTCAAAAATAGGAAGGCACACGCAAAGAATTCTTTAGGGAAAATTTCATACAAAAAGTTCAAGAATTTTTGCATGTTTGTGAAACGTCTATGTAAAAAATGAAAATTGATTCCTGTTAGGGTCATCATAATTCAGAAACAACTTGAAAGCACATAATAGCAGCAGCAATAAAATAGAATGAAAAAAAAATCATATAGGAAGCAGAACATCAATTTACCCATCCATTTTAAAATGTGTGTGATTGTATATGGCTGTAATCCTATTCAAAGTTATGTGGAAGTAAGTCATATTAAATACAATTGTATTTACTTTTAGATACACATGTTGAGGGTGTGCTGTGTCTGTTATTTTAAAGCAATGCAGTTGCAAAACAGATTTTATTTTAGATGGTGAAGCTTATTAATATAAAACACTGTTTTCTAAACACAGTGCTTTAAACAGTATAATTGCTATGCTGCATTTTCTCTTGCAATCCTCACTTTCTTGAATATTATCTGCTTTGTGCTAATAAGCATCAGCAGTCTACTAGAACGTATTGGCATGATAATGAAAAGGAACAGAACTGTATACTTTGACCTAAATATACACAACACTACTACCTCCTGCTGCTCTGAATGCACGAGGCATAATAAGAATTTGACACAAACTGTTTCTAGTAGTGTTTGTGTCTTTTTGAATCAGTTTCATGCTGCATAATTCCTGGGAGGTGTTTTTTTTTTAAAACAGAGGCAAAGAAAACAAGAAAGCAATGCAGATAGGAAGAAAAGTCAAGAAAGACATTTTGTTTATCTAGTGTGCTTTTGCAGAACTTTTGAATTGATTCTGCTACAGTTTTCTTACCACTGTAAGTAGAACAGAAATACATAATACTGCCATCTAAGGATTACAACTAAGCCAAAGCTAGGCGTAGGTTTTCCACTGACATTTTCAGTGATGCCGGAACATGTGTTCTCTTTTCAGTTATCTCTTGGCTCTGTTCATGAAAATATTCTGCCGTGCACATTGTTTTTGCTTCCCATCTGTGGCTGAATCCACATAAGGGCTATTTCCCAGCTCCAGTGAGCAGTATCATGCCCTGGTTTGACCCCATTAATATCACACTCACCCATTTTATTGCAAACTCAAATTGGTCTTCAAAGACACACATTTTCCCCACCCAAAGTCACACTGATATAAAAGGGCATTTCTACTCATGTTCATGTGTTTCCTAAATCAGATTATGTTAGTTCACCCAACAACAGCAACTGAATCTTTCTTCTTCTTGGATGGCATATGGATGTGTGTATATCAGCAAAATCACATAAACCAACAGCCTTTCTTTCTTCTTGTCAATTTTACCATGCCAGGTTTCCACACTCCCTTTCCTTTCCTTTTCCCTCTGTAACCCAACCACAATCTCCCTCATACATATGTGTTTGTAGAAGTGTGTGTGTTGGAAGAATTAAACCCCGTTTTAATTCAATGTAGGTAATGTCAGTTAAAATTCCATCGCTCACTGAGTCACTCACTCTGACATGATGGCAGGAAAGGGATGGGATGAGGGAGCATGCTGTGTGCATCTATGTGGTAGAGGGAGGGAGGGAAGGAGAGAGCAAGCTAGGGGAGGGCAGGAAGAGAAGGATGGGATGGAGGGGTGGTATAGCAGCAGTGGTGGGAGAAAGAAGAGGGCATTATTCCCCCTCTATCACCTGTCTATCTCTTTGGTCCATTTGACACCGGCAACACTGAAGCTCTGCTGAGCTTTCCTCTTCCAAAACAAGTGAGATGAAAGCTCATAGCCTCTGCCTTGTTCTTTTAAGTGTACACATTTACAATATGTGGCTGTACATCTGGGGGAGAAATGCACAGCTGTTTGCAAATATGCACACACAGAGAAATTACCATTGTTGCATGTGGAACATTCTGTATGAGCCCTTATATATCCAGACTAATCAAGGCCAATGCTGAAAGAGACAATGGAAAGGGCTCCAACAGCTGCTCCTATAGTGTCTTCCCTCTGCTCACACTGTTCCCCTATGTATCTTTGAGACCACCCACCCTGCTTCCCCCCCCCCCACTCCAAACCTCCCTCCCCTGCCTGAGGGAATGAATGAGCACAGCAATATGTCTGGGAACCTAGCCCTAGCCACCTGTCAGTTTGATTTCCTTCCAAAGAGCAAAAAAATGAGATCCAGGTTCAAACTTGCAACCTTTTGGTTGATAGATCTTATAATTGCTGATGATTTACCAGCTGTGCTAAACCTCAACCCCATGATGTCATCTTGTTCACTATATGAGGCTTAAGGAGATAGAAGCACAACCCTGCCATTGGTCAAACCCTCCCAAAAACAAAAAAAAATCCTGTCCTAAAGAAATATGATTCCAGTTTAGTGTATTGCTCCTTCATAATTGCTTTCTACAGACCTTGAAAAAATGATCACACATCTGCCACATTTTGTTGATTTGTCTACTTAAGCCTGGACTTATTTTTTTAAACAAACCACTCAGACAATCACCCTAAGTCAAAAGTGTACATTTTCAGACTCCAGATGGGAACTTATGGGATCCATGAAGTATATTCCAACAGCTACATGGATAGGACATATATTTTTCCTCTTACACAGGTAGCAAATCAGTGAACTGCTGAATCTTGATCTGTAACAGCTGGATTATACTATCAAAGTTAAATGTTCCCCCACAACCAGTGTTTCTTTTTCTTTTGCCTAGGTGTACCAGTGTCCACCATTCCTCATTTTAATTTCCTCAAAGGGCAATTAAAATTGTGCATTCTTTCTCTTGCTGAGATGCTCAGGTAAGAGAGCTATGTATAGCCAGGATGTCACTACACTGTGCATATAAAGCTCTTTTATACCCTGCCAGAATGGGAGCTTCTCTGAAGTGGATTTTGCAGCTGCACAAATCTACCCTCAGACAGCCTACCTTTTAGGAGATGAAGACTTTTCATCTTGTTTACCCCTAGTAACAGTGGCAGTTTCTCCATAGGATAGAATCTTACTATACAGGGATAATTCATGTATGAATATGTTATAGTTCAGTAAGAAAATCTATACATGCTTGCTGTTTTACCAAAAAAGTTGCATGCAAAACCGTTACCTTTTAAGCATTGCTTTATCCTTACAATCATGACCAAACATGGAATAACAAGACCATGGGATAACAAGACCAGACACAGAAAGTTGGGTTAAATATGGGCAACTTTATTTGTTCTATAACCTATTTAATTCGCATTGAGCATGAAAAGGAGTAACAGGGGGTAACAATCTGATGCAGGTCTAGCTGAAGCCAGGTATCAACCTTTGAGAACGTATTTAGTCTTCCTTTTGGTGAAACACCTAAGCCCAAATGGTAATCTGAGAAGGGGATTCTTCCCCATCTAGCCATTGACTGAAAGATAAAGCCAGGGCACTCTCATCCAAATTCCAGGACAATACATGAGAGCAAACCCTAAGGCCAATGTCAAGGATAACCTTCTTCCCCCCAACCTGGGTCCCAGGACCCAAAGAGAAAATTCCAGAGCCCTGCCCTTCACTCCAAGGTGTACACTGAACTCATATATTCTCCTGCTCTATAATAATAATAATAACTATAATCATCACCATCATCATCTTCATTTATACCCCGCCACCATCTCCCCAAAGGGGACTCAGGGCAGCTAACATGAGGCCAAGCCCAAAAATAATACAGCAAAATTAAAAACAAAATAACAGAGAAATTACATCACAACAAAATACATGAAGTAATAAAATAAACAGTGCAAGACAACATAGTAAAAACCAAACACAAAAGGCAGGCCAAATGTGCAAGATAATATGTTAAAATGTTCAAACCCTGGGTGAGATAGGAATAGAAGAAAGTGTATTTATGAGGAAGAAGCCCAAGAAGGAGGAGCAGTCGGGTATGGCCTTCATTAAGGACAGGAGAAAGTGCATCATGAGGACAACTGTAGGTGGAAACAAACAAAATGGGTTAAATGGTAACTCTTCGAAGGCATCGGAAGAGCCAAGATTTTAGATCTTTCTTAAAGGCTGCTAGTGGGGACATGCCTAATCTCACAAGGTAGCGAGTTCCAAAGTCGGGGGGCCACAGCGGAGAAGGCTCTTTCCCTTCTTCCCACAAGTCTAGCCTGTGATAGAGGGAGGGGCAAAAGGAGGGGCTCTCCAGAAGGTC